AAATAAATATATAAAACAATGTAAATAAAAGATTATGTATATATCGTCTTTTATTTACATTTTTTTTAACATCTGTGAAAATGTGTTTGGATTTCTGGCATTATTAATGTACGTACATTTGAGATTCACCCCTGTGTCTTTGCTAGAGCTGCTGCACAGGGTGGATGTGACTGACTTTTGTGCTAACTCTGGCTCTTTCTAGGACTAGATGGACAGTTATGTGGTTGGTGAACTGGCAGTCTGCACAGCATGTCTGGGGATGTGCTTGAAAGCCCTGCAGGGCTGCAGGAAACTTGTAGGACTTGTACTTCTGTGGTGCAAGGGGTTAAGTTTGGTCCATCAGATTTGTGTGGCATTTGAATTTCAGGATTCTACATCTGTGTCTGAAACACATTGCCTGCTTAGAATCGTCATACTTTGTGAAATAATCCAAATTAATTTGTTGATCTTAAACACCCCAAACCCAAACATTTGTTGCTGAAACATTTTGTGAAACAGAGCTGTTATTTTCTGGAGTTTTTTTTAATTTTTCTTTTTTCATGTTCAGTTTTGTTTTTTTTTTTTGTTTTTTTGTTTTGTTTTAAATCTGACTAAAAAAATGTTCTTCCCTCTTTCAGCATTTATATCATGGGATTGGTGCTGGAATGGATCAAGAATAATGGTGGAGCTGCAGCTATGGATAAACTTAGTTTAATCAAATCACAAATGATTTATGATATTATAGACAGATCTAATGGATTCTATGTGTAAGTTGCTATGCTTTTCCCTCTGATTTCAGTATTTGTTGTAGAGCCACAAATATTCATAATTTTAAGTCTGATTGCGGTATATTTTTAAAGTGACTGTTTCAGTATTTAGAAGTTTTGAGGAATCCTACAAGAACCACTTGTACAAACCATTCATTTGATAACTATCCAAGGATAAGTCTCATTCCAGCAGGAAGTTATATTAAGTTATGTTGTATAGATCAGTTATGATGCATATTAGTAACAGATGTTCTAGACCTAATAAAATGCGTGAGCCTGAGAAAAGAGTGTACAAAACCAGATAAGCAGATTCTGTTGTTTTATGCTTACTGAATCTCTTGAGGAAGTACAGGTTAAAACAGAGAAAGTGTCCTGGAAGACACTGTAGAGGCCACTTTTGCCTCATATTGTTCTTACAACCTCTTTCAGTAGTCAAAGACTCTGCTTTTTCTCTGTCAAGAAGAGCGTTTTTATTATCTGCTTTTGCTAAGTTTTCAAAATGTAGTTAAGACGTCATATGTTTTCTTGATGTACGGATTATTTTCTTCAGTTATTTTTGATAGTTTTCTGAAGCAGATTTAACCCTCTGATTTTTACAGATTTCTGCAAGGCATTTTTGAGCTCACAGGACTCAAAATATGTATAGTTAAAAGCTAGTATTGTAGTTCAGAGTAATTTTAATACTTACCAAGCTCATAAACTAGTAATTGGCTATGAAACTGCAAAATATTTTCTTCTACCTTCAGTATAAAATCAGCAGTTTTGAGACCTAATTAACTTCCAAGTCAAAGTTAGGATAGAGCAAATTAAATTTGGATTTTAAATTAAAGCTGGCTGCAACCATAATTGGCAGGAATATATTTTCATCGTAATATTTAATACATTCTGCTCATCCATTTAGTTAATGAGAACAGCTTTGCCTTTAGCATTGTCATGATCAGGATTGTGATCCTACTCTACTGAAACCCTGAGGGTTTTTCATAAACCTCGATAAGCAACTGAAGCCTTGAAAAAAACGTTTTATGACAAATAGAAATCTGTTTCTGGCAAGCTGGTCTGTAAGGCTGTGAGTGGGAAATGCAATCCAGATGGGATGGTAAATAGTCAATTGGGAAGGCAAAGCAAGCTTTGAGCTGTGTGCATCTTTCTAAGCAATACAGTTAAGACTAGATTTTTTTTTTTTGGATTGTATTTATGACTAAAAGGAAGGCTTATCTGAAGCTGCCTTCCGAGCTATAATGTGCCACCTAATCTGTGGCACGCTCCTCTGGGTAAGCAGTGTGACAAGCTGTTTAGTGAATGGAGGCTTTCTTCCACAAAGCACTGTGTGCCGTTTGCACTTTGCTTTCTAAAGTCTGTTCACTGAGTTTAGATAGGATTGCTGAAGAGCAACTGTATCTTCTAAAAACTGTAGCATATCTAGAGTTATTCAAATATGGGGATGCTTACAATCATATGCCTTTTTGAAGAGTGTTTTCCTGGATGCATCTGAAGCAGAAGATTTGCATAGGCATATACTGTGATTGAATTTTTTTTTTCCTCTTCATAAAGGAGACATCTGTACAAGGGAACAAGGGAGGAACTAAAAAAGAATTATATCCATTCTTTGTCAAATACAATAATGGGTATGAAATTTACATGTAGTTTATGAGAAGTTATTCGCAATGAATCCCTGCAAGAATCTACATCACAGCCTCAGGGAAGAATAAATCTAGAGGCTTCATATCTCCCTTGTAACCAGAAGCACCAAAGAAAAATATCTCTTCCCTCCCTCCTTCTTACTTTCACAAAATAATCAAAGAGAAACTTTGCTTTAAAGGTATCTTGAATTTTTCTACTTCAGATTAAAGGGAATTTTAAGAGATTGAAGAGCTGTGATGCACCTTATGCATGTTGTGGCCATGTAAACAATACAAGATTTGTGCCAGAGATCTTGTATTTAGAGATACTTGAGGTATTCATGTTTCTGGATAAACTAATGTAGAAGATGGACTGAAACCACTTACAAAAGTCTTTTCTTACACTATGTTCTTATGCTTCCTTTAGCTCTGCTTAGCTGAGCCAAGCTCAATTCTGGTAGCACTTGTGACTAGCTGAATAAAAATAAGTATGCCGGTCTTAGAAGATAAAGAGAAGAAACTGCTTGAGACTTAGTGAAAGTTTGCTGTAACTTACCTCATTTATCCTAGGGAATGTAACTAAGACTTGTGGGTGGGGTGGTGGTTTTAATTATTATTATTGTTATTTTTTTTTAAATTATGTCTAAGGTCTGCTTCTGTGCATTTCTGTGTGGCAATTTTCAGTATGTCAGAAAGGGTTAATAAGCTGTCCACTACTGTCTTTTTTTATACTTGGTTCAAAAGGGAAGGTTGCTTTCTTTTACAAAAAGTAATTAGCTTTTCCATTATGGAAGAATGACTTTGGTGCTAAACAGATTCAAGTATTCACTTGCTGAAACTGTATATAGCTGGAAATGTAAACCTAGCACGAGATGAGTTAATCATTACATTCTGCAACTTTTCTAGATGTCCAGTGGAGAAAAAGAACCGAAGCAGAATGAATGTCCCTTTCCGTATTGGCAGTGTTAAGGGTGATGATGCACTGGAAAAGAAATTTCTTGAGAAAGCTGTGGAACTTAACATGATATCTCTGAAAGGGCATCGGTAAGTGTTAGTCAGATGAATAATCCCTTTCCTGTGCGGAATAAACTGGTACTGCAGCGATGCAGCAGCAGGCGCAGTCCAGAGCCCGCAGTCGACTCAACTGCTGCTTAGCTCTAGGGGGGCTCAGAGAGCTTTCTCCTTAATTCTGCTTTCTTCTCCAATTTGATAAATCTGACTCTGTGCAAATGCCAAAGAAGGTGACTCTTGAGGTCAGATTCTGTCATTGTATAAAGCCTTTCATTATACGACTTCGCTTCCTGCTTGCAAGAGTTCCTTCCCATGTTCAGTGGTGTTTGTGGGATTGAAAGAGCTTTTTGATGCTGCAGGACTGCAGCATTGGAGCTGTAAAGAACTGAAGAATATTGAGTTTCTCTAGGCTGCAGGCTTGCCTTGGAGAATTAAATGTTGATTCTCATTCACGTAAAAATTTGAGTGTAATCCCTTTGGAGTAGTGGTAGGCTTAAATGTCTGTGAAAATTATTAATGTATTTTTTAGAATATACAGAACCTTTTCTTTTTTTTATCTCCTCCTTATTTCAATTCAGATCTGTGGGAGGAATCCGTGCCTCTTTGTATAATGCAGTGACTGTAGAAGATGTTCAGAAGCTTGCAGCGTTCATGAGAAGCTTCATGCAGATGCATCAGTCATAAAATCTCATCAGTTAGAGCCATGCTGCACATCTATGACATAAAAGCTAAAGGGTTTGAAAGTTATTGTATGGCACAGCTGTAGCGCACAAGTTATTTTTTCTTTTATTTCCTGTAGCTATTTTACTCAACTGTATGGGATTGAGGCCCAATCTTGCAATGACTTGGCAGCCTTGCCTTCATTGAAGGTGAGGATCCCCATACTGATCAAGATTGGTTCCAAGTATTCCAAAATAGTATTGTTAATGTGTAGTTAAAACATGAGTAGCATTAAGATGTTATGGATCTGAGTCTGTTTATTACTTCTAGTCACAAGTGGCTTCTTCAGCAATGCCCTGTTTTCAGTAAAATTCAGGAGGCAAAATTTGCCGTAAGCTTTCTGTAATGCTTTACAAATAATCTGTGGCTGCACAGTGAAGCTAGAGCTAATGTTAAATGTTCTATAAAGATGTCTAGTTGACTTACCAGTGTATACCAACAGTATAACACCAGCAGTATTTAAGAGTTAATATCTGTGTTCCTAACTTGAAGACCTTGCCTTCACATTTCTGGTCCCATGCTTCAAGTAATATAACAGTCACAGGAAGTGATACCCATTGTGGTTAAAGTTTGCAGGACTGGGCCTTTTTTCTCATATTATCATTTACTGGTTTAAAGCTAAGATGCATGAGTCTGTAATTAAATCAATTTATAAGATGTCATTTATTTCTCTGTGCATTTTGTACGTTAAACTAGAGAAGTTTATTAATTTTATGTTCTTACTTTGAGTGTGCATATTTACTCCTGCCAAAAACTTGTTTGTAATTCATTAACCATGTGCCAAACTGGATTGCTCTATTCCATTCAATGGATCTGTGAAAGTCTGCAGCAGACTTTCTTGTCTGGTGCTTCCTAAACATCTTGCCTCTCTAATTTCTCCAGTATTTTCTATGACTTTTCATTGCTTCAGTTCTGTAGTGTTTTGTGTGTGGGGATTTGCCCAGCTGCAGTAAATACAAGTCTTAACTTCTCTGTCTTCCTGACACTACATCGTGCTTCTAGTCCAACTTTCTTGCTTGCTCTTTCTGACTTATTTTGAACTTTGATACTCTGGGTTAGAGAAGGAGCTGTGGTTATGCAAAGATCTTCAGAAAAATCTTCTGTTACTAGTATCCTTGAGTTACTTTTCCTTCTCAGCTTGTGAATTCACTGCCAATCCTGTATTGACACTGGCCTCCTATTTTAACTTACATAGAAGCTGTCTGCTAGTGTCATACTGTTTAGCATCACTGCAGCTGGTTTCAAACTGTAAACTCTTTGCTACAGGACTGTTTATGTGTATTTTTTTATTTTTATGCAACACCAGTACAGTGGTAACAATTTAATAATGGTAATGATTTAACTGTCCCTTTCTTGGTGGAACCTAACATCAAGTCAGTGGAGTTGTGCTAGAGTTGAAAGATGTTCCTATATGAAAATCATGATTTTTCTGACTACTTTTTTGAGATTTTTGTCAATTTAATGTAACTCAAAGTATCTAAGCAAATTGGATGAAGAAAATAAAACTTAATCACAGCATGCCATGAAGTACCCGTGTGTCTAAAGCTTTTTTATTCTTGGTCACTTTCAGAAGGATAAGGTATATATAATGTATGTTAGAATTTTAGATTACAGCATTGTCTTTTTCCCTTAAAAGCAAGCTTCCCTCATTTATGTTTTGTTTAATTCTGAAAATAGTCTTTCCTACAACTGGAATGGAAACAAGTATCACTATGAGAAGACTTTGAGAACCCTTTTTGCCCTGCCAATCATGAAGATGTAATTCAGGTTCTATATCAAGCTTTTTAACTTTCTAATATTCTACTTTGATTTTTCTGTACTTGTTTTCAACAGTAGCTGTGACGTATATCTCTTTCCAAAAGTTAGTAAACCTTTCTATTTTATGACAGCCTCATATTCCTCCTAGCATACTGTCGTGGTTTGACCCTGGCCGGCAGCCAGGTGCCCACACAGCCGCTCTCTCCCTCCCCCTTCTCCACTAGACAGGGGGAGAAAATAATTCAAAGGGCTCAAGGTTTGAGATAAGGACAGGGAGATCACTTTCATTTACCGTCCCGGGCAAAACAGACTCGATTTTGGGGAAACTAATTACATTTATTAAGAGAACAAACCAGAGAGGAGTTGTGAAAAATAAGAAAAAACAAACAGATCTCAAAAGC